CTTTGCAGAAACTTTCTATTACTTTGCTGAGATTCTCTATTTTTTTTTCTTTCAAATGTATTCCTAATAGCTCATTAAAGCATTTTTATAATGGCTACTTTAAAATTCTTGTCAGATCATTAACATCTGTGTCATCTTGGTGTTGGTTTCTCTTGATGATCTTTTCTCATTCATGTTGTGATGAATCATCTTGGTATGATTTTGACAAATGATTTTCAACTGAAGCCTGCACATTTTGGGTACTATGTGAGTCTTGTTCTTACTTATATCTTCTGTTATAGCAGGCCTCCTCTGGCACTGCCACTCTAACATAGGAGGAGCACTGCCTCATTTCTGCCAGGATGGAGTGAAAGTCCAGGTTTTCCACTTGGCCTCCATTGACATCTCAGTGGAAGGTAAGAACTTCTTGTTACTGCTAGGCAGGAGTAGGATTTCAGACTTCTCACTATGCCTCTGATGATACCACTGTGGCCAGAGGGGGAGGAGTGTCTCGTTACTGTTCCCCAAATGGTCTCCTCTCCACTGACACTATAGTGTGCTAGACTTATTACCATTGAGTGGTGGTGAAAGTCCTGTATTTCTACCAAGCCTCCTCTGATGCTACTCCAATGCCAAATAGGCATGGGTGTCTAGGTGCTTCATGTGGTCTCCACTGACACCACTGAGAGTGGAAGATGGTGTCTCATTACCACCAGGTGAGGATGAAATTCTGGCTCCCCACTTGGCCTTCTTGACAACACTGCATGAAGTGGGGGGAGAGAGGCTCAGGTGCTTGTTACAGCCTGGCAAAGGTAAAAATCTAGCTTCTCCACTCAGTATTTGCTGGAAGGGGTGGGGGTGGGGCTGCATTTCTTTTCTGTGCTATTTTGCTGGAGTACAGAGGTTACTATCTAAAATTTTTCTGTGTTGTAGGGCTGTTCCTTTCCAGGTCCTTTGGCTAGAGAGAGTAGACTTTTGTTGATACCTTTTTTGACCGCACCCAATCTGGGAGATGAGGCAAAAACAAAATCCAGGTGACTTGTGGCCATGTCATTCCTCAGGTCCTAAGGTCCTTAGCCAGTCTGGTCCACCTTCTATATTTCAGAGTCTTCTTGTGTTATTTTTATATATAATGTCCAGAGATTTTAGCTGTACTAAGTAGAAGAATAATATATGCATATAAAATATTATTTTATATGCATCTATGTGTATATATGCACTTTTTTCCTTTGCCAAAATGACCAGAAACTCTTGAAATGAGGATTGGAATTAGGAGTTGAACACAGGTAAAGGATAGAAATGTGTTTTATTCTTTATGGTTTGTATTTTTGCCATGTATAGATATTGCTTATATTTAAAAAAAATTAATATGTAAAGCAGTAGGTACTTTTCAGTGCTTGTCCAACATAACATGTCTTGAGAAATTGTAACTACTGTCTACTCTTTCCTTCCTAAGACTCTCTCATTTCCAGGGCTCTGTGGCTCCCCTATCTCCTAGATCTGTCATTGATCAATCCTTCTCAATCTGTTTTGTAATCTCTTCCATTGGCCCTTCAAACACTGGCACTCCCTAGTTTTCAATTCTTGGTCTAACATTTATTCTCTCACAAAAGTGTTCATTAGGCCAGAATATTCATTCACATTGTCTTAAACACCAACTCTATGCTGTTGAAGGCCAACTCTATTTCTCTAATCCTGTTTTCTTCTCTGATCTCAGATGTCTCATAGGCTGAACTTCTGCTCCTTTTTTCTTTCAAATCTGCTCCTCCCTCATTCTTACATAGCTCAGTAAATGGCAACTTCATCCTTCCAATTGCTCAGATAAAAAACAAAAACAAAAACCCTGAAGTTACCCATGACTCCTCTCTTCTACATTCCACCTGTCATTTGTCAGCAAATACTGTTGGCTCTGACTTCAAAATACATTTAGAATCTGACCACTTCTTACCATCTCCACTATTACTACCCTCATCCAAGGTACAACTATTTTTTGATTGCATTATTAAAACAGCTTCCTAATTAATCTCCTTCCTTCTACCCTTATTTCTATACAGCATCCAGAATAGTCCTGTTAAACATAAATCAAATTGTGTTATTTCTCTTAAAAACCTCCCTTTTATCTTACTCAGATACAGCGAAGTCAAGTCCTTCCAATGGATTCTAAGGACCTATAGAATCTACTCAGCTTTCTCTATTTTCTTTCTGAATCCATCTTCTTATATTTCTTTCTTTTTCGTTTGTTTGTTTGTTTGTTTGTTTGTTTAATCCTTTTTAGCTAATCTAGCCTCCTTTTTGTACTTTGAACATGATAGACACACTTCTGCTTCAGGGATATTGTGCTTACCATTTTCTCAGCCTAGAATGCTTTTCCCTCAGCTGAATGAAATCACTCCTTTATTTCCTATAGATCTCTGCTCAAAATTTGTCCTTTTAGTGAGGACTTACTGTATTTTAAAATTACAAAACCACTTTCCAACCCTTCCTATTCCCCTTCTCTGCTTTATTTTTCTTCTTAATGCTCATTACCATCTAACACACTATGTATTTTACTTATTTTGAATATTGTTTTTCTACTTCCTTCAGAATGTAAATTCCATGAGGGCTGTATCTCCAGGACCTAAAATAGTACCTGGCAAATAGTGGGTACTCAATACATATTGGTTGATTGAATATCAATCAATCAATTAATTAATTAATGAAATTTGGGTTTTAGACCAAGAGTCAAGAAATTGCAGCCCATAGGCCTGCTCCCTGTTTTGTTAACAGAGTTTTATTGGAATATTCATTTGTTTACATGTTGTCTATGGCTGCTTTCCCAATACAAAGGTGGAGTTGAATAGTTGTGAAAGATTTCTATGACCTGCACAGCCTAAAATATTTACCATAAATATTTTCTTTGAGTAAAGTTTGCTACTCCTTACTTTACTCCAACTACTTCATAAATACTGCTTTCTGGATATCCTTCAGGAATCTGAAGTCCAACCTGCAGCAAATCAAGTTTTTTTCCATCTTCTCCCAACCTTTTCCATTCTGTATTTCTTATATTTATGAAGGACAGCCCCATCCATCCAGTCAGCCGAGTCAGAAATCCAGAATTCAGACATCTTCCTCTCCCACATTTTCCACTTCCAATCACTCAGTCCTATGCTTTTCCCTCCCTGTTCCTCTTCCCACCACCCTGACTCAGACTACAGTTATTTATTGCTCTGATAATGGCACTACCCTCTCTCTTTGTAATCTATCCTTCACACCACAGACAAGATAATGCCTCCTGAATGTAAGTCTATCCATAATACTACTCTACTTTTAAGCAATGCTTTCCCAAGCCTGTAGGAACAATGCCAAACATTCCAAACTCTTCAACTAGACAGAGTTTAGTCCTTTTGGGACCTGGCCCCTGTCTGCCTCCAATCACATCTCTGACCACTGCTATTTTTATTTCATGTTCCAACAATACCAAATTACTTGAAGTTTTAGGTCTTTGGGCCTTTGTTCATGCTAGGTCATCTCCTTGAAATTTCCTTTCCCTATTTTCCTTTATTTCCACCTACAGTAGTGACATAAATTGTACTTCTTTGCAAGTACCCATCCTTGATAATCCCAAGTGTCCTCTATGCCCAATAATATCACCATTCAAAAATGATCAATGAGGCAGCACTTCATAGTGATTAAGTACTTCAACTCTGAGCCAGGCTACTTGGATTTAAACCCCAGCTCTGTTACTAGCTAAGTGGCCTTGGACATTTACATAGTACATCACATAGTACAGGTTTATTATCATTTTCACATTTTAGCTAAAAAAATGACTATCAGAGAAGTTGTTTGATGTAACACAGATAATATAGCAGAGAATACCAGTTGTAATCCAATATACACTCATTTTTCTTTTAGAAAAAGAACTAAAGATTTATCTGGGCACAGGAGGGCCCCAAATAAAAACTATACTTCCCTAACTCATCTGCCAGATGTGACCACAGGATTAAATTCTGAAATGGTATATAAATAAAAGTGATATATGTGACTCTCAGGTCCTGCCTTAAAGGACAGGGTTGTATCCTTCATTTTCCTTTCTTTCATCCTTCTCAACTGATATGATATAGAAGATATTTGGTCATGCAGTGAAGCAGCCCTTAGAGATGGCAGAACAAGAAGAAAGAAGGAAACTGGGTTCTTGCCCCTGTCAAGTCACGATATCAGCACTGGAACACCTCACTGGACTATCCCACAATCAAGTAATAAATGTCTCTTTTGTTGGAGCCACTGTGTTTATATGTGGAGTCTTAGAAGCCTAACCTATATTCCACCAAATATAGCTGGTAAGTGGTAGAGCTTGGGTTTGAACTGTAGATGCCATCTAGATAGTGTCATTAGCCTCCTCCCCCTGCAGAAAAGTTTTTATTGAATTAAACCTTGCTAGGATGGTACTGGCTACTAGAAAGCTTAAGAGTCAGATGAAAGGCCATCTGTAGCAAGTGTACAGGACTTGTCAATAATTATTTCTTGTCTAGCCTCATTCCTGGGTTCATTTTCTGTCTCTATCCTTATTTTTCCTTTTTCATTTGACCTAATTATGATGTATAATATAGTACCTTGTATTTTATATACCATATAAAATATACCACCTTAATTTTTTTTGAAATAGGATGAGGTTAAATAAGTATAGATATTGCTTTCTTTATGGTTTCATTATACACGCACCACTTCCATATCTATCATTTTCATTTGTATATATGGCTATCTTCATATTATACTATTAACTCTGTACAGGCATGAACAATGATTTTTTTCTTCTTCTATACCATCTAGCCTGGTGCCTGATAATAAAATAGTTATAGAACTGAACAGTATTTGCTAAATGAATGAATTTCAGTGTCAGAAATGCTATTTAAATGCCATTGTGTCATAATAGAATTCCCTTCCATTATCAACTTGAACAAGGGAGGGAGACACAACTCTAAAAGGTGGGTAGGGGAAAGTGTCACATGCTTGGAGAAGTGATGGTGAGAACAGGGAATACATACCTTGACGAAGTGCTCAATTAGGATTTCCACCACAATGTTCTGGAATTTGATGTTCATCATGGCAGCGACAGTATCCTCCTGAGCTCTCATCAGAGTGGGCCCAAAGATCACGCCCATGTTGGAAGGGGTCATAAGATTCTCTTTGCTGTGCTCACATACACTGCCAAAAGAGAAAAAAAAATGATTAACAAGATTTTCTCCAAGACCCCCTTGTAACCAAGACTGTGTTAGATGATATGGGGGCAAGAGAAACTAAAAAGTAGGAAAAAAGTAGAGTCCAAAATATATATGAGAAGACTACAAAGCAAACAAGTAGCAAAGAATAAAAGTATATTATTAGGGGCCTAAGTGAGACACAGCTCACTTAGTAGCACTGTAGGAGTTAAGAGAAGGGGGGTAGGCAGCCATAGTTAGAAAGTATTTAGAAAGACAGGAAAGAAGCAAGACAACATTCCAGGCAATAAGTACAGCATGTATAAAGCACATATAAAAAAGAACAAAGCACATAGATAAGTACCTACCAGTCTCACCAGTCTGACACCAGTCAGGAATGTAGCCCCTCCCCCACCCCTAGTTTGAAAGTAAAAAACTCAAAAGAGCTGGAAGGGATCCTTAAAATTAGCCCTTTATCATCACTGTCCTCATTTTACAGATGAAATCACACACACACACACACACACACACACACACACACCCCAAAACAAAAACAAAACAAAAAAACTGAGGTCCAGGGCGCCTGGGTGGCTCAGTTGGTTAAGTGACTGCCTTCGGCTCAGGTCATGATCCTGGAGTTCCAGGATCGAGTCCCGCATTGGGCTCCCTGCTCAGCAGGGAGTCTGCTTCTCCCTCTGACCCTCCCCCCTCTCATGTGCTCTCTCTCATTCTCTCTCTCAAATAAATAAATAAAATCTTTAAAAAAATAAAAACAAAAAAACAAAAAAACAGAGGTCCAAAGAAGGAAAGGAATTTCCTTGAAATCACAGTCAGTCTCATCAGAGTAGAGCCTGTAATCACCAATATTCTGATCCCTAATCACTCTCCTTGCTAAAATTCTCTTTAGGGGCTTTGTAGCACTTATAGGATAAGGCCAGCTCTCTTCAAAGTTGCAACTTATAGCCTGTTTCTAATCCCAATGTAAAGGTTGGACTCTGAAGCTGACGTGGGCTTGAATCCTAACAGTACCACTCAATTGTGCAACAGTGTTAGTGACATAACCTCTCTGGGCTTCAGTTTTCCCATATGCAAAAATAGTACCCACCTCACAGGGCTGTTTACATAGAGCTAAATTGCTTTCACATGGTATCCTGGAACTATTGCATTAGAAATATCTGCTATTATTATTACCTCTCCAGGAGTCTCCATCTAAGTACTGCTGACCTCTGATACTCTTGATACACTATACTGCTTAGATTAGGTTTTCTGGCTATACCATGTTGTTTCATGCCACTCCTGCTTAGAATGTCTCCTTCCTTCTGGATATAAAGAATGTCTATTTATCCTCTGAGATTCACTTTAGGTGACATCTCCTTCAGGGCTATCACAGCCCATTGTCCTCTTCTTGATTGACACCATTGGCAAGCAAATATGTTACAATTTTCTGTTTCTTATCTGCCTCCCTTACTAGGTGGTAAACAACTTTAAAGTGTGTGTGACTCATACAAAGCAGCTACCAATTAATTATTTTGAACGGAACTAAGTGCCTCTACTGCTCTTTCAAATAGTACTGGAGGCAGCAAATAAAATATGAGCAGCTGTTTGGTTAGTTTGGCTGTGAGGGTGGGGAGGTGAGGCAGTGAGACCACCCACCTCAAACACTAATTTTCAAAACCCTCCCAGGTAAAGGCCCCTGAGAGACTGACCCTATCAACAGGCAGGCTCTTTACTAAGTGGGTAACTGACAGAGACAGAATCCTTAGACAAATCCTGATGAAGTCTGTTAAGCTCATTACAAAGGTTGGGTGCCATTCACATGATAATGAACAGCAACCATTCACAGGCACTTATTATTGCTGGGCTGGTGATGGGTCCCTTTTAACAGTTTAAATATTTCGACAATTAACCCTTATTATTTAATGACAATTTTTTTGAGATGTTAAAATGGAAAAGCAACTCCATACCACCACCAAGTGGCTAAACCACTAGTAGCAAGGCAAGGACACTCGTGAGACTGCAGCCTCCAACACCTGTGAATGCTTATCTCCTTCTGTGAACTTTGAAAGGAATGGACTTCTGGTGAAGGTGCCAGAGCTCACTTAACACTCCCAACTCCAAAAAAGGCAGAGTGTTTTATCTCTGAAGCCTAGGTTTACAGAAGGTAAAGCACTTAATCAAGGTCACACAGTTTGTGAATACATGACAAGGATTCAAACCCATATTTGTTGGGCCACAAGTCTTACAGTCATCCTATTGCATCCCACTGCTTGCTTATCTAATTCCTGTTAAGAAATCAAAACCCTTGTGGGCTCTCTTTAAGCTAAAGCCACCTTCTATTTTTCTAAGGGAGGTTCCTGGTATCCTGTTTAGGACATTCTTTTTCTTCTTGGCCTTCTTATGAGATTTGGAAGGTAACCTATTTTAGAGGGAGATTTCTTTGCATTTGACATCTCTCTTTTTATTATACATTATCATTAAGAGGTATAAGTCACACCCCAAATTGTGGGTTAATAAGGGAAATAAAACCAAAAATAAGAGCACTGTGAGTAGTGAATTAGGTAGGAGTTTGTGATATGACTTGACAGCAAACAAATCTCAAATTCCCTAGTCCACATGGACTCGCCGACAATGGGTACAACTTCTGGAACATCAAAATTTAAAACAAAAAATGGCTATCAGAGGGAGGTTGTAAAAAGCCTACAGTTTAGAAAAATAATTTTGATTAGATGGTTTAGATCCGAGGTCATAAACTAAAATGTCTATAAAATAGAACTACCTTATGATCCAGGAATCCCACTTCTGGGTATATATCCTGATGAGAGAAAAACTCTCTCAAGGCCTGATACACAAGGGAAGCCATTTTAGGTTTCTTTTTTAGTTAGCATTACTGTACATAAATGTTGTTTAAATCAAAAGCCTGATTTATGGCTCAACATGCATACATTGTACACCTGCTTTGTGAATGAGTAGCCTAAAGGAAAACCATCATGTCCTTGAGATATCAGTCAATATTCCTACCCCTATGATGAGAAGAAAGGCAAAAGAAATGTAGATACAATTAAATTTCCTTACAACTTGCAGCCCATTGAGAAATACCTGAGACATGCAGAGTGTGACATTCCTCAAGGAGCTCATGGCTGCCTTAATGTTGACGTTTTGCTAGAGACTAAAAGCAACCTTAGCTTGACAATAGCCAGACCTCCAGGATCCTGTAAGTTTTCTTTAACATATGGAAATCCCTTTAGTGACTTCCCTTATCTCTGCCCCCCAATTTGAAAGTATATAGTCAATTTCTCCACACAGTCACAGTGCAGCAATTTTGTCCATGAGTCCTGTTCCATGCTTTAATAAAAACACCTTTTTGCATTGAAAACATGTCAAGAATTCTTTCTTGACCTTTTTTGCTCAGAGATCCCACATCACCTGCATTCCTGAATGATGAAACTCGTGATTCCTGCCTATGTGCTAATCTATAATATTTTGAGCCTTTACAAGACGTAAAAAAGTATTATAATCCTGTAAAAAATGTTCATTTTTCTGGAGCACTTTCTTCCTTGTAAAGACCATGTTTCCTGGGCAGCTGTCCTAACTTGGGCTCAAATAAAACTCTCTTTCTACTTTTATTAGGGATTCTGAAAGGTTTGTTCATTTTGCATAGACAATCCAAAGGAAATGAAATCACTATCTGAAAAAGTTATGTGTACTCCCATTGCAGCATTATATGGGAGCAAACTAAGTGTTCAACAATGGGTAGCTAGATAAATATATATATACAATGGAATGTTAAACAGCCTTAAAAAAAGAAGGAAATTCTGCCATTTGCTAGGTTCATGGATGAACCTAGAAAGACAAATACTAAACAATCTTGATTATATGTGGAATCCAAAATAGACATAGAAGCAGAGAGTAGAATGGTGGTTGCCAGGAGGTGGAGGGAGGGGAAAATGGGAAGATGTTGGTCAAGAAGTACAAAGTTTCAGTTATATAAGATGATTAAGTTCTGGAGATCTAATGTATAGCAGTGAGAATAGAATTAACAATACTGTATTATACATTTAAAATTTGGTAAGAGGGTAAACCTTATGTGTAATCACCACAAAAAGAAGAAAATGAAATTATGTGAGGTGGTAGATATATTAATTAGCTTTATCGTGGCAATTATTTCACACTGTATACATAAACCAAACATCAAGTTGTATATCTTAAACATATATATAATTTTTATTTGTCAATTATACCTCAGTAAATACAGAAAACATAAAAATAAAAACTGAAGCAGTTCATTAAAGCTGGTTCAGTCACTTATGTGACTTTTGGCTTATTTTTTTCTATCCCATGTATGTATTCTCTCATCTGTAAAATGAAAGTTTATTAGGTGATCTAAAGGCACTTCCATTTCTGTCATCTAATGAATCTAAAAAAATCCTTCTCTTGAAAGGAAATTAAATAATACATGGAAGCAAATGACAGTGAAAACACGACAGTCCAAAACCTTTGGGATGCAGCAAACGGGGTCCTAAGAGAGAAGTATATAGCAATACAGGTCTACCTCATGAAGCAATAAAAATATCAAATACACAACCTAACCTTACACCTAAACAATCTAGAAAAAGAATAGCAAATGTAGCCTAAAGCCAGTAGAAGGGAAATAATAAAGAATAGAGCCTAAATAAATGATACAGAAACAAGAAGAACAGTATAACAGATTAAATAAGGAGCCGGTTCTTTGGGGAAATTAATAAAATTGACAAACCCCTAGGGTGAGTGAGTTAAGATGCTGGAGGAGTAGGGTACCCTGAGTATGCCTGGTCCCTGGAATTCAGCTAGAGACTTATCAAAGCATTATGAACACCTGTGAAATCAATCGGAGATCTAAAAAAAATAAATACCGCAATTCTACAAATAAAAAAGCAACAGGGGCGCCTGGGTGGTTCAGTCAGTTAAACGGCTGCCTTCGGCTCAGGTCATGATCCCAGGGTCCTGGGATCGAGCCCCGCATCGGGCTCC